GTGTATGGGCAGCCCCGAGCTGCCCGCAGCTTCTTCCCGCAGCACTTCCACCAGCCAGACTGCATCTTTATCAGCCCCTCCTCCGGGCCCCACCTCCTCCTTCTCCACCCAGCAGCTCTCTTTGCCTAATTAGGCAGCCGAGGCTGCCTGATTCTGTGTGGCCCTGCTCGCCACATTAATTTGGAGTTTTTTGCCGCCCCCCTGGAAAGTGCCACCCAAGGCAAACGCCTTGTTTGCCTTGAGGTGAATACGCCACTGCATTCAGTGTCCGCCACCCTTCTTTACCAATCCCTCCATTGGCTTCCCCTCTCCCACTGAATAAAATTCAAAATTCTTAAAACAACATACCAAACCATCCACAACTCTACCCCAAACTACAGCAACAACCTTTGTCCCAAAATATCAACCAAGCCACCTATTCACGCCTCTCAAGACCTCCATCTCTCTAGCTTCCTCATCACATCCTTCCATACATGCTGTCAGGACCTCTCTAGAGTATCTTCCATCCTCTGGTACACCATACCCCAATCTTTCCGACTATCTTCTACTCTGTCCATCTTCAGGTGATCCCTGAAAACTGTTCTGTTTAGGGAAGCCAACCCTGCCTGTATCTATCAACCAAACTTTGACCTTCTCCATCTGCTGATCCCTGCACAGTTATTTCCTTTTGTATCACTTGCACCTCCCTTTAAGATTGTAAGCTCTAACAAGTATGACCCTCGTAATGCTCCTACTTGCATTTTATCATAACTGAACTGTGTCCCTTTTATTTTGTAAAGTACTGCACAAACTTTTGATGATTTATAAATCCTGTTTTTATAAATCAATTGTTTTACAGAACTGTGTTACCTGTTACAAGGTTACACAGTTCTGTCTCTGACTCTTAACTGCTTTTCTACATTGGCAGATTGTCACATGCACTTCTGGTGGAGACCATAAACAGCCATCCCAACCATTAGGAAACCTGCCCTGAGCAATGGCATGTTGCCGCCGCTGGAGTGCATGCATGTGTAGACAAGAATTTGCTCCAAATAGGCTGGAGGAGGTCATTAGAACTGCTATGCAACAAAGTATGACAAATACATTAAAGCTATTTTTTATACAAGAAAAAATAGCAGTTTTTATTATGGCACCTAGTTACAATTTACTGTACAACAATTTGAAATGATTGTGTCAGAATAGATGGAGCCAATTTGATTCCATGTTCAATGGGTATGGAACATTAGACAACATTAGGTGGTGGGAAGAGTTAAAAAGCATGCATATGGCCTGAAGACTTGCAGTAAGAAAATAGGAACTTAATTTTAGAGAAAGGGAACCACAGCAGTTGCCCCGCCCACTCTCTCTGACTCAGCTAGTCTACTGTTTAATAGCAAATCCAAGCCACATGAGGGGACAAGAACTGCTTGACTTTTTAGTATAAAACAGATACATACACAGATACCAGATACATACACAGGTACATACAAGAACCTGTGACTATTTAATAAAAGCTTTGTGTGCTTCAGCTTTCTTCAAAATGTTTTCCACAACTGAGCAAAAATGTCAATGGACAACCACGCAGTTGGGGATAACCCCCTCAAGTGAAAAGGGTTGCATCATTCTGTACCCTTTTTCCTACTGACCACTAGCATTATGGTAAACAAATATGGTTTGTACATAGTTACAAGCTTGTACACATAGCCCCCTTTCCTCCAATTAGTCACTGTCCAATTTTTCTTTTAGAACCATGAGGTACAGGGACAAAACATGTATCATATAGACATCATTGATCTATATTCCATAATAACACCACTCTCCATTTTGACAGGAATGACTGATACTGGAAAAGGAATGGATACAAGCAGGACATACATTACTTTTTTCCAATCTTTATCAGACATCATCTTTGATTGGTGAACTTAGAAACAAGAGGTCTGTTGCTACATGGTGATCAATGATTTCTTTGGAAATCCTACTCTTTTATCCATCTCTTTTCTCTGTCTGCCCCTATCTTGATGAAGAAAGGAAACATAACAAAACAGTAAAGTGTACAAGCACTAAGACAGAATTTCATATTTTCATCAAAGTGGCTTTGAAGTCACACAGCCAGAAAATACTGTTTTTGCTGAACTAAGTGCTGTGAAGCCAATTGACTATTCACATACATATGGCAGCTGAACAATTTCCACTAATTTTCTCTGCCCAAAACCTTCAGCATTCGTTTCTAAGAGGGAGACGCAAAAAACTTATATACCATAAGTAATGCACAGTGAAGACTCATTACCCTACTTAGCATTATAGGAGAAGGAGAAGCAACTGTGCCATAGGAAATATTTTACTTACAAATGTCAGTGTAGAATGGGTCAATTGAATGAGAGATTACATGAAATTAAAAGAGAGAGAGGTAGACAGAAAGACAGAAAAGGGGGGATACAGAGACATTGGGAAGAAACAGGGAGAAGAAGGAAATAAGAAAGGCAAGTAAGTTGAAGATAAATATACCAAGGGCTAAGGAAGAAAGAAAAAGAAGGGGGGATAAAGCAATCAAGACAGAGAAAAAATCATTGGAATCGTTTGAAAGGCTAAGAATGGGTGTAAGAGGAACATAAAGAAAATAAGAGATTTAGAAAACTATACAGCAAAGATACTAAGTGAGCTCTGTTCCCAACCAACTACATTACTAATCTAGGTACGTTAATTTAATTAAAACACAGTGTAGTGTGTCAACTGCAACTATATTTGACACTGTGTATAAAGTATATTTCCATAACAGCAGTATTACTGTGTGAATAGTCTATTAGTCTACAGTGTTTTCCAGTTCCACAAACTCAACCAATAACTAACATACCTAGCAACACAGAGAATGTGCAAAGATGCTTTGATACTTTGTATATTCATATATAAACAGCAGGGACAAGTCAGGGGAGAGCTTGGTTACAGGATGTGGCTAATTAATCTAGCATGTTCTACAAAACCACAACACATTAAATTCTAATTAGGCACAAGTGGTGAAATGGTCGTCCTAAACTCTAATGTATCTCCAACACTAATATGGTTGTTGTGCATCTCTCAGTTCCAGACCACGCTGATGTTATATATTATATATATTAAATGAGAATCGTTATAATTCTACTCATTTCTGCCATCCTTTAGAAGCAAAATTGGATATTAAAAACATAATAAATGCATGCTAAAAGATCCCAGTTGTTCATGTTATTCAGGTCAATGGTTTTCATGTTAGTCATAAAATATCAAGTATCACAGAAATAATTTACATTGTGTCTAAATTTCCTGCGTAAGAAAAAGTTAAGGCATTCATAAAAAGCATATCATATGAAAAATGTACTACAGCCATTATACACAAATTCATAACAGAATTAATGTGGTTGATTTATTAAAGAAGTAGTGAATATTGCTTATGGAATAAAGTAAAGGTATGTTGTCCCCTAATACCCAATCCTGTACATGAAAACAAACATACTGAACTTAGTGAACATTTTCTATTTCTTTAGTAAATCAATTCTAATGTGTTGCAGTAGGACAAGATGTGTGCAAGTATCACAACCTGCCAATGTATCTCCAACAAATGTAAAACTACAAGTTCTAGCTTTTGACTGACAATGCATGCTAGTAATTTAGCTTTACCATATCTAAGGATACACCTGTTGGCTAGAACATTTTTAGGTGCAGTTGCTACTCTTTGAGAAAGGTATTGTACTTACCGGCAGGACCCCTGATGCCAACAAGATTTCCAAACCTGCTCTCTGTATGATTTTGCAAAAATTAAGGATGCACAGTCATTTATGACAGCCAATCAGAAACCTGTTGTATATAAGCCTGACTACATCAGACAGTTGATAGCTGGTTTCTAACTAGTTGCTATGGTGTGCAAAACATCCTTGCTGTTCGTACTGTAATATTAAATAAGCTGCTACATTAATAAAAAAAAGAATAATGTGCAGACTGAAGTTAACCCAATCAACCATCATCTTTTATTATTCATTCTGCTTTAAGCATAAAAATATGTTTAAAATGAATGTCTGCTGTGGATTGCTGTGCACACCATCAGATCTATTTGCAATGATTTATAATAAACACAAATGTGCAAAGCATGGTCAGTACAATACTTTCTATGACTAAGACCCCTTCTTTTAATTGTCTGTCATTTCAACTATCTACCTAAATGCTTCTGATTTATCTAAATATCAGGCATATGTTTATTTAGGTTGACAGCATAACCAGCTTATCTCTGATTGGTTACTAGGGGTTACAGCACAGCATTGCTCTTTGTTATGAAAAATCCTTTATCCATTAAAATGGTATAATAATTTCCACTTCTAAGACTTATCCTCCCGCCAGTGCTTGTGCTTTTTCTTTCATTTTGACTGGGTGAATTGCATTTATGTTCTGCATGACTCAAGACAACATGGTTTGCACTGCAAGGCAAAGTTTATTAGCAATAAACTTGCAAGTTGTATTATCACCAGCGAATATTGCAATTTAATACTGTACATTCAGGCCAGAATTACATGTCTACATACAATACTCACTGTTCTAGAGTTTTCCTTTTTTTTAAGACAATCTTATTTCATTTAAATAGACAGTTGAGTTTATGCATAGGATGATTTATTCTCATAATAATGCAGTTGTGATGAGTGATGGGTATTGTGTTGTTACATAATGACATCCCTGTGACAATGGTCATTATGCCGCCTAGTTTAGTTAACATTAAATAACAACAAGCAACAGTTCATCAGCCTCTTGGTCTGTGCAAATATGTTTCAGAAGACAATTTGAAAATTATCCCACTGCCATGTAGTGGATATGAAAAAATATTGAATATATATATGTACAGTCTATAGAAATTCAGATTGAAATTATGGCAGCCATTAAACTTAGGTTTAACATAGTTCAACATGTATCCATTTTGTTAGTCTGGGTCCATCAAGTGCCAGAGCCAATGATGAATCATTAACCACCCCCCACCACCCCTCTTCCTTGGTTGCTCAAGGCTTTCAAGGGAACAAGCATTAAATAAGGGCATTTGTAATGGGCACAAGGCAGGCAAGAGAAAACAGGATCATCTTCACTGTCTACAGAATTTGCACTTGATGATTTTCTTAAAAGCACTTTGGAAATCTTTATTAAAATAAGCATAAATAATAGGGTTAAGGAGAGAGTTTGAATAGCCTAGCCAGTTGATGACATCGAACAGCAAGTGTGGCATGTAGCAGGATTCACAGAACGGCAAAACCAGGGCAACGATGAAGAATGGCAACCAGCAAAATATGAAAGTGCCCATGATGATACCTAAAGTTTTCACCGTTTTCCTCTCCCTGGCCAGTGCCACCTTCCTCTTGGCATCTGCGCTCTTGTCATTCTTCTTCTCGAAGCAGGGAAGAGATGGGTTGTCACTGGAATGGTTTGGCAGCGAAAGGTGGTTCTTCGTGTTGGCATACTGATGGACCTCAATGACCTCCAGGGCAGCCCCGTCTTCATTGTGCCTGACTGCCCCGTTCACGCAGGCGTTGTTGGGTTTGGGCTCCACACTCCTCTTCCAGTTCTTGCTGGGCTCCCCATTGCTTTTCCTCTGGATGGTTCCTGGGGACACCGTCAAGGAAGTGTCTGCCACTTTCTTCTTCTCGGCTTTTTTAACAGTTTTACGAATCCTGAACCTGGCCGCTTTAAATATCTTACCATACAATATCAGCATTAGAATTAAGGGGATATAAAAGGCTCCAAAGGTGGAGTAGATGGTGTAACCTGGGTCTTCACTGATCTTACAAGCATCAGGGTCAGACCTATCTTCAGATGTCCTCCAACCCAGCATGGGTGGGATGGAGATTGAGAAGCCCACTATCCATGTCAGACTAATGAGGATGGCCGCTCGCCTAGGAGTCCGCTTGTTCACATAGTCAATGGGGTCTGTGATCGCCCAGTATCTGTCCAAAGCTATAGCGCACAGATGGAGAATGGACGAGGTACAACACAAAACGTCTAAAGAAATAAAAATATCACAGGTTACCTGCCCCAGAGTCCACTTGTTCAGAACTTGGTTGTGAGCCGCCATGGGTAACACCAAGACGGAGACCATCAAGTCAGTGACCGCCAGGGAGCCTATGAGATAGTTGGCCACAGTCTGAAGAGTCCTTTCCAAGGCTATAGCCGCGACCACACAGGCATTGCCAAAAATGGCACACAGGATCAGTGCCCCCAAGAAGAAAGAGGTGAGGATCTGGTAGCTGAGGGTCACCTCCTCGAACTTGGTCCCATTCCCCTTCTCTGAAGAATAGTCCGAAGAGGTAGTGTTATTAAAAGCATCCATCCCAAAGCAAAAGGATGGCAGCTAGCAGAGATAATAGGGGTGGGGGTGGGGGGTGGAGGCCGGAGATCAGGACGTCCTGTGCTTGTTCACTTGGGGTGAATGGACGCCTGTGCTCTAGCTGCGGGCTTCTTTAAATCGGGCATAGTTTCAGAGGTGATGGGTACCACTCCAGTCGGCGCTTCTTGCTCCTGCGAATCATTGGCGACTGATGAAGTGTAGAATTCCACAGAGTGCAGGGAAAGAGAAGGACGTCAGAGCTGATGGGGTGAGCAGAGCACTAGGACACATTCATGATCAAAAAAATAAAAGAGACTGTCTTCCAGATGAAATCCATCTGCTGCTCCCCACCCCCCCCCAACAATGGGTCCTCCTGCCCTCTCTGCTGCCTTGGATGGGGAATGAAAGGCGATTCAGTCACTAACTTGCCACTCAGTGAGTTACAACTGCCTTCTGTGGGAGTCTATCCCCCTCGCTGCGCTGGGATTGTATTATAGTTCCTTTCATTGGGAGAGCAGGCGGAGCTCTGGAGATTGGCACTGGAGTCAAACTCTGCCCATAAGATCGCTAGCTGAGCAAGCTTGCACATCCTGAGCTCTTCTACTGCGTCAGCCACCGCTTGTCCCCCCCATGTACTAATCACACTGGATGGCAGACACACCTACTCAGGGCAAACTTTCCTCTTATACCCATGCAGCGTGCTCAGTTTCGTTTATTAACCCCTCGCATGCCAGAGAAAATCAAGTCAAGGCATGCAAAACTTTGGAGAGAAAAGCTCCTCTGTTGCAAATCAAAGCTTCTTGGAATGCATCTCTTCCTACAGTGTTATTTTGCAGATTTTACTCTTAATAGCTCAATTGTTATTTGTTAGATTCAGTATTGGGTTTTCTGCTTTTTTTTTTTTTTATAGACTCTGAAGCGCTGGACTGAAAGTTGCCGCTGGCTTGCATGCTGCTGGCTCCCGTTTCAGGACCTTGGACAGCGGCGCAGCGAGGAAGGTGGTTTGTCGCCATCTACAGGCCAGTGGTGGTAATAAGGTCATCGAAGGCTGACTCGCACACACGCACGCACTGAGCGCACTAGATTATGGAAGATCCGAGGGTTCCATAACATTATTTACCCAGATTAGACCAAGGATTAGATATGATGTGCAATGCACCGAACTGTGTTTCCCTGTTGCAGATATTCCAAGCGAATGTTTATCAGGGAATCACTCAAATTCGATTGCACTGCCATTTGCTGAGTGGAGCCAGGTTGCTGATGTGCAGGCATGCTTTCATATTTGAGGTTATCATTTCCTGTTGGTATGTAGTTGTAAGGAAAATCTTTCTCCTATAGAGAACACTTAAAGAAGGACTCCAGGCAAAATAAAACGTAACCCTTGCCGTGGGGCTACCCTCGAACTGCAAGGGTTTAAGTAGAATTAAAGTCACTTTTTTTTTACATATATCTACTGCTAGCCAGCTGTAGATATATGCAAAAACATTTTAAAAAGTTACCAAACAGGTAAATACTTATCTCTGTCTCCGCCGCTTGCTCCCGGCTGTAAAATCCAGCTTCTCGCACAAGGATGAGTGCAGGCGCATGCGCATGCGCAGTGGAGATCATCAGCGGGCAGAAGAGGAGAGCCACAGTGGAAGTGAATGCATGAAGCCGTGAGCGTGCGCGTCAGACAGACACCATGGGACACGAGGAGTTTGTGCCGGATCAGAGACCGGCGCATCCGATGGAGGGACTCCCGAAAACTACTGGAAAGAAGAAGATGATCGGTTCAAAAGGCATCACTTAAGGTAAGTCCTCAGAGCAGCATTGAGGGGGGCGGGGGGGTGATTTTGATTTCACTTTAAGTGCTTGCTTTGCTCCTGGGTGTAAAATAAAAAACATACTCACCCAAACTTCGATCCCACCTGGCTGCCTGCTAGACTGCTGGCCGCAACCTCTCTCCCCTTCCGCTCTGGCGGACTAAGGATCCGTGAGTCAGCACACCTAATACATTGTATTAGACGTGAGGATGCCGAGGGGCATTCCATCTCCAGGTCAGAGAGGAAGAAAGGCTAAAGGGACCGGTCTAGGAGCAGGGCATCTAATGCATTCTAGCGCTCTAGCCAGGTGGGACCGATGTTCGGTTGAGCATATCTTTTTTATTTTAAAGCGAGCACTTAACCCTTGCAGTACAGGGGTAGTCCCACTGCAAGAGTTAAGTTGTATTGTGCCCAGAGTTTTTCGTTAAAGGCTAAGTTTATGTTTCTGATCATGGCTTACACCCATAAGTAGGGTGCTTTCCCACTTACCTCCATCATTGGGTTCTCCTCGCTGCAGGCTTGTTTTAAAGATTGCACAATGTTTGACAGGATGTGTAAATGGAGACACTACAAATCCCATCTGCCACCACCGCCGTACGGACCTGGATGGGAGGGAGAGTCTGCAGGAGCCAAAGCATTGCACCAAAAATTCACTGATTGCGGTTGCAATGCTTTACTGGCTTCTATGCAAAAAAATAAAATTTTTGCACAATAAATGCACATTTTTGCTTTCATGAGGAAGTGTGTATTTATTATTTTTTGTTTTTCAAAAGGTGGAATTTACCTTTAAAGTGGTAAAACACTGCTGAAATTCTGACTGAGTGCTGCAGATTTGGTAGAAAGTGGAACTGTGTGTGGCCCTGACAGCATGACTTTGACAAATGTCCGTTTTTCAATTGATTTTTATCGAAAGAGCTGAACTGAAAATGTCAGCTGGTCAGTGGCTCCAGCCAATCAGTTTTACTCAGTGTTCGGGTACTTTGACAGCGGGGGGTGCCGGCTGTCAGAATTCAATAGGCACTGGAGATTTGTTCATCTGCACTGTTTAGTGCGGATGGGAAAATTGATCATTATTTCCTGTTCAGCCTTCAGAGTTGAATGGGAAAAAATAACACGTGTATTGCCAGCTTTAGCGATTTGGCAGTTTAGGGATTTGGCAGTTTACTTATGTGACCTATTGTTCTCGTGTGTCAGTGTCTAGACAATGTATTCCCATGGTACATGTTCCTCGACAGGGCTGAAGAAGGAAGGTGCTGTATCAACTGCCAGCTGGCCAACTGGTATCAGCATAGATAAGAAATATGTCACCAGCACACCATGCACTTGTGATCAGTAGTCAAAAATGTTTATTTAAAGTGATCACACTGCAAACATTGTTTAAAAACAATCACATCCCAAACAGTGCAGGTACAACGTTTCAAGGCCACACCTGACCTCTTCATCAGGTATCACATGTCTGACAAAGAGGTGCTGTGTGGACCTGATGATGCACCTGTGCTGTTTGAGATGTGATCACTTTTAAAAATGTTTGCAGTATTGATTATAGATCTATGGTGTGCTTGTGACAATTGTTCTTATCTATTAGTCTAGTCTACTGTTCAAGGTCATCCCTATAATGGGGGAGACTGGCTTTTGCCTCAGGCGGCCTCTCTTTGGGTCATGTGGTGGGTGGCAGGCAGAGCGATCTGGCCGCCCTGCTGCACCATGTTTGCAGTGTGACTCCCGTCCCCTTTCTGGCCAGAGTCCCAGGTTGCTAAAAGACAAGTGGGGAGATGTGTAAGGGCCATACGTATTTCCCAGCACAGCTCTTAGCAACCTGGGACGCTCTGGCCGGTGTCCAACTCAGCTCCTGGCAACCACTGAGGTCAGTGAGCTGGGCTGGACCCTGGGGAGATTATCCATCTTCCCTCTGCCTCAGTCGGTGAATATGATAGGGACACCCCTGGTAATGTTACAATGCAATATAAGATTCTTTGTGTTGAATAATTCTCTGCAACGTGCACACTGACTCCTCTGACTGACTCCTAGGCAGAGGTCGTGAAGATTTAAATGATGGAGGACATCATTTTTGCTGATCACCTAGTATTGGTAGCATGAATTACAACAAGAGTAACATCAGCTTCTGCAGTATCTCAGCACAATCTATAACACTCACAATGTCACACATGCAGTAGATTGGCTTTATCAATCCATTGTTTCCTAGCCCACCAGAAGATGCAATGCATTGGTTTTCTCATCCTGGTATTGGATGACAACTCATTGGCCCTGTCTCCCAAATGTGCTCATGCGTTGTTACCCTGATTCACTGGCTTCCAATGATTTCTACAGGGGACCATTTCAACACACATTATCCATGCAATAGCCACTGTTGTCACCATCAGGAAGCCAGCCCTGAGAAATGTCATGCAGCCAACTCTGGAGTGCAAGAACGTAGACAAGAAGTAGCAAGGGGGTCCCCAGCATACTCGCTCCCTGAGGTGAGGTGAAGGGGTTCTGGTGGCATTCTTGTGGTGGACTGGCGTCCTGTCCAGCTCACTGATGTCACTGATTACTAGGAGCTGGATAAGACGCCGCCCAGAGTATGCAGCTCATCTCCTGGCAACCTGAAGCTGAGCAGGATGCCGGCCAGAGCGTCCCAGGTTGCTAAGAGCTGGGAGGGGAGCTGAGGTTGCTAATAGCTGGGAGGGGAGAGGGGAGATGTGCATGGCCCTTACACATCTCCCCCACCTGGCTCTTAGCAACCTGGGACTCTCTGGTCAGAAAGGTGGCTGCAAGCTCTGCCTGCCTCCACCCCCACAAGCCTTAAAGAGATGCTGCCTGATTATAAGGGAGGGCCCTGGGAAGTAGCTGCAAACAGGCTACAGGAGATCAGCAGTACTGAGCTGCAACAAAGGATGTAAAAACTAGTGGACAGCAACTATTTTATTTAAGATGGTGCACATTGCTTCAGCAAACCAAATGTCATAGTTACAGTTCACATCTTTTTTAACCTTCTGGTCAAAGAGTAAGTGAACCAAAATGATTTACTGCTAGTGTGGATACTGGGAGATTTCGGCACTGCCATTCACAAATATGCCAATCACCCACAATAAAGTGTTCTTCCTATTGGGTAATGGAAACTCCATTTAATCATTACAATTTAAAAAATAATTTTCTTTAAGCAACTGATGTAGGAGTAAGCGGCCATGAGATTGGAGAGGTGCTGCATGACCACAGCTACCACA